TTTGCCACTAAGTACATTTCATATAGTTTTTTTCCCTCGTAAAACTATACAGTGTTCTTKTCAGTTGGGCTATAATTATATACACATGTGTTGTTGCTGTTTTTTCTGTTTTCTCTCGTTTTGCAGGTGTAGAGGCGGACTACAAATCTATGCGTCTTTCTTTTCTCTAGTACTATCTTTCACCTCATTCTTAATTTTTCTCCATTTCTTTTGTCTTTTCCGTCTCCACATCCGTTTTATCTAAATAATCCCAAAAGAATTTCTAATAAAGTTTAAATATATATCAAGTGGAAAAACATGGTGAAAGCCATTTAGCTTCATTTGTGAAAGTAAAACTGTTAGGCCTCATCCTGACACTCAGACATTAATTCTGAGTGTCACACTGCCAGATAGGACACAGTGGAAAATATATGTATTTATTTTACTCTGTAAATATCTAAATCAGAGGACCAATCAGCTTGTAATATTTAATAATTTGAGCTGAATTGTAGTGTAGAAAAATATGCGCTGTTCAAAAATGTCATGTCTGAATAATAATAGCAGGACCCACTTGGATTCTTCTCTAACATTATTTTTGTCTCTGACTACAATCAGTTTCATACAGTACAACACAGCAGTCAGTCCTCAATGGAAGCCTTTGAGCTCATTTCAGAAAAAACACAATAATCACTCAGCAGCCCAGCTGCCCCAAGCTGATCTAAGAGAGTCTGCCAAACTAAACATTATTATTCATTCTACCCATATCATAATGATTCAAACCTTACAACCTCTTCACTCTGGTTACACCCCTGAAGGTGGTAGCTTTTACGTCAGAACGTAACCAGCTTTTGTTTATATAGACAGAACACATCGATAAAACACACCAACTTTTTCTGCTGTAGCCTTATGGCTGCAATGATCAGAAACTTAAAATACAAAACTGGTTTTAACAGTCAGTTGATCAGTTGCGAAATTTCCGTCAGTAACATGATTCAGCAGAGTACTACATTTTGTATAACAATTTATGCTACACAAGCTAATATCTGCTAACCAGTTCAATAAATAACTGATTATTACATCGACTTTATAAGCTTATTTCAATTTTAAACTCTTACATTATTAGCTTTAGTTATGTTCAGATCACATTGAGCTAAATAAGATCAAAACTGCATACTTGTGTTGTAAAAAGAGATTTTCTTTCTTATCTTCTGTTGGTAAACCAACAACACACACAGCTTTCTGGCATTATTTAAAAMAGATTAACACTAAAATAATAATAATTTAGTGTTATTAAGATTTCTACATCGCCAGTCCTTTTTTTCACTATGTTGCTAACATTTATGGTAGTCCAGACTCTTGCCTATTATGCTTAGCCCTGTAACTTCTATAGTAGATCTCATGGCCACATGGTTTCTGCGCTCTACAGCTGTTCTATGTACCTCCAAGCTCAGACCCTATTCACTACTTACTGATGGTAAATCCCGACGCTACCTTGGTCTCTTTAACATTTTTTTCCTGGCCAACAGAACTCCATGGACCTGTGTCGAATGGCAGTGATGGGGCATTCCTTCGGTGGAGCAACGGCTGTAGAAGCTCTCTGCAAAGAGGTTAAATTCAAGTATGTTAAAAAAAAAACTTCCAGTGTAACAATGGCGATCTCCACTCGTGATGTTACACATATAGTTTACATAGATTCTCTCTCAAATGATCAATCGGTGTGGATTGTTCTGAGATTCAGTGACACATCTGACTTCAGTRATCACAGGAAAGTTCAGTTGAAAGGTTGCTTGGAGGGTTGAGGTCTTCCATAAACTTTGAAAGTGAGCGGATTTGTTAAAAAATGTTGGTGTTTTTACCTGTGTCTTCTAGCTTAGCTTGCTGCGTCTGTTGTGTAGGGTTGCCAACTGTCCCATATTTTCAGCCAAATTGAAGTGTCCCATACGGGACGCTCTTTTTCCTGTATTCTGAGTGCAGCCTGCAATCAGAGCCGTTACGTTACAGCAGGCAGGTAGGAATTTGTATAGCACCCAGACCACTGGGGGAACCGGGAGGTTTCTCGGCAGCCTACTCAGCAGGCTAAAATTTCAGATCGCACTTAAATTTTTATTAAATAAACAATGCGGTGCCATCAGTGCACCTCGGCTCACTCCTGGTTCTTGCTTCCAAGAGCTGCTGCAACAACTCCTCCCCTTGCCCACTCCCTTCCTTTTCTTAGGCTCGCTGACGCACAGAAGTGCAGAGACACATACCGTACCATTTTTATTTATAAAGCACTTTAAACGGCACAAGGCCAACCAAAGGGCTGTACAAGAGACAAACACAGAAGGACAGTTTAAATTACAGAAGATTTGAAATACGGAGCATTTACATTTACATTACACATAGAACAGTTATGATACATTAGCTGTGTTTACATGCACAAAATTCTTTGATCAGATTGAAATGTATTCGGATTAAATAATCGGAATGTGTTGTTTACATGGACAAAATCCAATCATGACAAGTGTTTACATGCACCAGGCTTTTATTCAGAATAGAAGCACTGACATGCGCAGTTGCTAACTTTCCCTAAAAAACAACAAAAAAAAACTGAAATTAGTTCTGTTTTCATCATGAACATAAACAAAGGTCTTCTGAGCACACAAAATGGACCTGTGACAGGTTTTAATAATGGTGGAGACGTTACTGCACTCCCTGGTTGAACTACAGGTGAGGCACAGACTTTTTTTTCCCGAAGCGGCGCAGGCTGTATGACTTCCTTTTTTATTGAATGAGAAAACGGGAGGAACAGTTCTGTGCTGAAGCACTGCTGTCCTTCCCTCATCAAAAGAGCAGAAACCGCTGGATGAAAGTCAGCAGACATGCGGAGTCAGGTCAGTTTTCCACAATCAGAATAAGATGATCGGATTAAGTGTTTACATGCACGTCGTTCGGATTATCAGTCCGCATAAATTAGTGCTGGGCGGTATACCGTTTTGTACCGAAAACTGGTTTTTATTTTTGTTATATAACCTTTCTGAATACCGGTGTAAATAGCCTGAACACGTGCGGAACGTTTCGTCACGGCCGCCAGTGAACTGTTTCCCTGGGGACACGTTTCCTCGCAGCACCGCTGAGTGCATTAGCATGCTAACGTTATTGTTGGAACAACTGGCGGCGGGTGGTGTTTCAGCTGCTTATATGGTCTGACGTAAAAAAAACCATCCCGTTTTCACCATCGCTGAATGTAGTAAACAACTCTTCAGTGACGTGCACGGTTAGATTTAACACGTTATAATGGAGACGTCATTGCATGGAGACATTGCGTGCTTCTGTTGTGAAAAGCCCGAGGGGAAGTAGTTTTGTAGTGTAGCTGAGTTGACTGATGTGCAAGGTGAGTCGTCCTTTTAAGTTTTATTAACACGCAATGATAGACCAGATAATGATCTTTTTTCTCAACCCTTCACGATCGGACCTAAATGCATGATTACTGTCTACAACCAGGCAAAGAAGAAAAGACGTACAAGAGAGGAGAAACAGAGATACAGTAAAAGAAAAAAAATCAATAAGCAAAGTTTGTACATTTTATCATCAGCTGAGCTGTGAGGAAAAAAATACCGTTAAATACCGTGAAACCGGTGTAATTGTTGAAAATACTGTGATATAAAATTTGGGTCATACCGCCTAGGACTAGCATAAATCACCTCTCTCATTCCAATTACAAATTAATTCAGATCAGGTCAGAATAATCCGAATGGGGTGTTTACATAATGCATTTTCATTCCAAATGGCTGTTTAATCCGATTACTTATGTCCATGTGTAGCGAATTACTCCATGAAAATTAGGACCAGCCTAATCTTCACAAAGGTAATCCCTCAAGACCTTGCAAAATGAAATCAGGAAATAATGAAATAACCCTCTGATCATGAAGTGAAAAATGAAAACTTGTGACCTGAACGTATTTCTCAAAATAAAGTAATTTATTTTAGATATATGAAC